CTCTAACGAATACCCTTTTCTCTTCCACCCCAATATATACCCTTTATTGCTCACATAATGCACACGCATTTCCCTTCCTCCCCTCTTCGGACAAAATCGAAAAATACATCATTACTTGTGAAGTTGTGATTTAAAAATGTTTTTTTTTAAATTCTGACGACGGCACTTACCGTTTGTGGACACTGTGCATGGATGAAAAGATTTTCTGCCTTTTTCCTCTGTCCAATCTCGGCCCGCTTTCTCTCTGTCTCTATCCATCTTTCTATATCCATCCCCTTCTCTCTCTCTCTCTCTCTCTCTCTCTCTCTCTCTCTCTCATAATAAGTACTGACGAGTAGGAGCACATATCGTGATGATATCCTATATTTGAATTCATGTGCGTAAGTGATATTTCTTCTTTGTCAAGTACAATCATGATTTGAAGATTAATATTGCAGGAACGATAGATCTTTGAATCACAATGTCCTGACTGACGCTAAAAGCACATCAGGTGAATTAGAATATTTTTGTATCCATTCGAGTTAAGATCTAGGTTTAAAATGACCTTGGTTTTGAAGTAAATCCAATCATCATAGGGTGCGTTTAATCGACACTTTTTCACCCTAGAATCACGGTTTCTAAAGACGTTTAGTTTAAACGCAATGCGTTCAAGCGATTTTTTCGTCGGTCGTAAAATAAACGTGTTTGAAAACACAAACATGAAACGCTGAAAAAGATGCGTTTTGTATCATGATTCAAAAGAATCACGGTCGCTAAAATTCGATTGAACGGACGGAGTTCTCAATCATGATTGTATGACGAAGCCTCTTCCGGTTTGGGAAAAACCGCGCGCCCGCTTTGCATGCAATTTGCGTTCACTATACCATCGTGGCCTGTTCCGTTATGTTATTCCTTGTTTTTCCTTCTATCATTTTTTCTTTCTGTTTTTCCTTATGTTATTCTTTGTTTCTTCCTTCTATTCTTATGTTATTCTTTGTTTTTCCTTCTATCACCTTTTCTTATGTTATTCTTTGTTTTTATCATTCTATCATTTGCTCTTTCTGTCTTTCCTTATGTTATTCTTTGTTTCTTCCTTCTATTCTTATGTTATTCTTTGTTTTTTTTTCCTTCTATCACCTTTTCTTATGTTATTCTTTGTTTTTATCATTCTATCATTTACTCTTTCTGTCTTTCCTTATGTTATTCTTTGTTTCTTCCTTCTATTCTTATGTTATTCTTTGTTTTTTTCCTTCTATCACCTGATCTTATGTTATTCTTTGTTTTTATCATTCTATCATTTGCTCTTTCTGTCTTTCCTTATGTTATTCTTTGTTTCTTCCTTCTATACTTATGTTATTCTTTGTTTTTTCCTTCTATCACCTTTTCTTATGTTATTCTTTGTTTTTATCATTCTATCATTTGCTCTTTTTGTCTTTCCTTATGTTATTCTTTGTTTCTTCCTTCTATTCTTATGTTATTCTTTGTTTTTTTCCTTCTATCACCTTTTCTTATGTTATTCTTTGTTTTTATCATTCTATCATTTACTCTTTCTGTCTTTCCTTATGTTATTCTTTGTTTCTTCCTTCTATTCTTATGTTATTCTTTGTTATTTTCCTTCTATCACCTGATCTTATGTTATTCTTTGTTTTTATCATTCTATCATTTGCTCTTTCTGTCTTTCCTTATGTTATTCTTTGTTTCTTCCTTCTATTATCTTCTCTTATGTTATTCTTTGTTTTTATAATTCTATCACTTTCTCTTATGTTATTCTTTGTTTTTATCATTCTATCATTTGCTCTTTCTGTCTTTCCTTATGTTATTCTTTGTTTCTTCCTTCTATACTTATGTTATTCTTTGTTTTTTCCTTCTATCACCTTTTCTTATGTAATTCTTTGTTTTAAGCATTCTATCAATTTCTCTTTCTGTCTTTTTTTATGTTATTCTTTGTTTCTTCCTTCTATCATCTTCTCTTATGTTATTCTTTGTTTTTATAATTCTATCACTTTCTCTTATGTTATTCTTTGTTTTTATCATTCTATCATTTGCTCTTTCTGTCTTTCCTTATGTTATTCTTTGTTTCTTCCTTCTATACTTATGTTATTCTTTGTTTTTTCCTTCTATCACCTTTTCTTATGTTATTCTTTGTTTTAATCATTCTGTTACTTTCTCTTTCTATCTTTCCTTATGTTATTCTTTGTTTCTTCCTTCTATCATCTTCTCTTATGTTATTCTTTGTTTTTATAATTCTATCACCTTCTCTCATGTTATTCTTTGTTTTAATCATTCTATCACTTTCTCTTTCTGTTCTTCCTTATGTCATTCTTTGTTCCTTCCTTTTTTCACATTCTCTTTCTGTCTTTCCTTATGTTATTCTTTGTTTCTTCCTTCTATTTTTATGTTATTCTTTGTTTTTTCCTTCTATTACCTTCTCTTTTGTTATTCTTTGTTTCTTCCTTCTATTCTTATGTTATGCTTTGTTTTTTCCTTCTATCATCTTTTATGTTATTCTTTGTTTTAAGCATTCTATCACTCTCTCTTTCTGTCTTTCTGTCTTTCCTTATGTTATTCTTCGATTCTTCCTTCTTTCACCTTCTCTTATGTTATTCTTTGTTTTAATCATTCTATCGACTTTATCTTTCTGTCTTTCCTTATGTTATTCTTTGTTTCTTCCTTCTATCACCTTCTCATTCTTTGTCTTATTATTGCGATCTATGCTCAAAACAGCAGTCGACAGTCGGCCGTAAACAATTCCAGAAAGCGCGCGCCGAAGTTCCTGGGCCATACTGCGCAGTGTGATGCGCAGTGGTTTGGCTCGCAATGAGCTAGAATCAGCGTTGATGAAAAATCGCTTGAACGCAAACCGCAGTGACCTTGCTTTTTGTAACGGCGTTTTGAATTGTGATTCATGTTTGTGATTCTAGCTTCGAAAATTCGATTGAACGCACCCATAATCGCGAGTATGACGTACAAGTATGTAACCTCATATTATGAACTGGAATAGGTTTTCCATCCCGAGACAAATTTTCCCAGATTCAATTATCCGGATTTGCACATAATCAAGTGCTTCCAAATTGCCAAAACATGATTTGCATAACGACCATAGCAGAACTTATTATTTCCTTGTCTGTAATGAAGATAACATCCTTGTCTTAGCTCCTTCCACCCTAGTCATAACGTATCGGTTTCTCATAGCCCCCCCCCCCCCTCTCTCTCTCTCTCTCTCTCTCTCTGCCTGTTTTCACCGTCTCTCTGTTCCACTTTCTCTCTCTTCTCCTTTCTATCTCTCTCACTCTCTCTTCTTTTCTCCAATTCTTTTCCCCTCTATCTATCTCATTGCCAGACAAGAGAAGGCTTTTTTATTCAATAGTATTTTGTAAATCATTTAATGATTTACAGGAATATAATTCCAAAAGGCTCTTTCTTTCACGTTTTGGCCACAGTTGTTTCACGACTTAAAATTATCATGATAACGCCAACCTCGTTACCCCCCCCCCCACCCTTTTCCTCTCTCTCTCTCACCCAATCTCTCTCTCTCTCTATAAATATATATATATATCTCTCTCTACTTCACACACCTCACCAGCTCACCTCCGCTGGCCCCTCCCTGCTTCCTCTCGTATCCCTCCGCATTGATTGTAGCTGAGGGCATCTAGATCTTAGGTAGATCTTATGATCGACACCTGTTATAATGAATATCATGTTTGCACCCCGATACATCAACACAGTAATAAACACTGAGCTACACACGCTCTCCTCCACAGCAGCAATGCATTGTGATAACATCGCCAGACAAATCAAAGCTTCAGGATGTGTTCAGGATGAGACAACATTGCAGGGGCGAATCGATTGGGGGCGCAGGAGACGCCCCTACCCTCTTCTTAATTGGTCAAATCCTTTAGTATGAACGCATAACATTATTGTTTTCTTTCTGCCCATCTCTATCCTCCTATCTATTATAAACCAAACGCAATGTGCCAGTGGCCAAGTTTCATTTAAGAGCGTTTAGTTTGGACCTCGGGAGTGATACCCCCTCCCATTGTTCCCCCTTAATATTCTTCTCCTATCTCTGCAATGCATTATATAAAACAGGTGTACTAATATCACCATGAAGCGTTCTTCCTTCATTTCAGTTGCAGAGGCTTTGTTCAAGCGGTTTCGATATTCATTGGCAGGAGTTCAAGAGGCAATAGGGGTGGGGGACTTCCCCCTTCCCCCTTTACCAATTTTCCTCCCCCTTTCCATTTAGTAATTCGACTATGATATGTGATAACATTTATTATGAACCAATTTTCTACTGGTATTCTACTAAAATATTGTTTACTCAAACGCCCCCCCCCCCCCGCCACCTCTCTCGCTTTCTCTCTCTCTCTCTCTCTCTCTCTCTCTCTCTCTCTCTTATCTCTCTCTCTCTCTCTCTTTCTCTCTCTCTCTCTCTCTCTCTCTCTCTCTCTCTCTCTTTTCTCTCTCTCTCTCTCTCATTTTTTTTAAAAAGTTCATTAAATAGACATATTTGTAGGAGACAAAATGTACGGAAAATGAAGAAAGCTGATACTCTGAATGATGTTAGAAGTTGATCATGATCGAATTGCTCCTGGGACGGACATGATATCATTCGTGATATCAACTATCACCACTTCACATGTTTCCTACACGGTGTCCAATTTATCAAAAACCATCACCGACTGTGAGGTTTCTCCGAATTATCTCCAATTTTTACTTTGTTTTTCTCAGATGTACCTCAAATATCCACTCGTTAATTTGATTTTCTCGTCAAGGCAACATTTAAGCCTTTCTGTTCGGAAAACCGTGAGGATAAATTCATTGAGCTACCCCCCCCCCCCTCCCCAGCCCCCAGCAATAAATGGGCCGAGCCTAGATAAGTCATTACATTTGTACATAATTTTCTCTGTCTGATTTGGATAATATGCAATAAATCACTAGAAATCATATGGATGAGAGTCGAACAAATATCTGTTCAATCCATCATGTTCGTTTCTATTTGTTTGTTCTCTTCCAAACAGATTTTGCTGACCTAGATGATTCGATGACCACCCGCCCCATGTCCATCTATTCACTACGTCATTGGTGACGTCACACATTCCTATCTTCATGTGACGTGTAAAGAAAAAAGGTAAACTTCCGATGAGGAGCAGCAGTTTTTATTATTTCCGCTAAGAGACGCCAAAAACAATAAATCAGCCAAAGTGTTGACTTCGATTTTTGTTATGCGTACGTGCTGTGTACATAATACTAATATAAGTCTCATTTTCACAGGGACAGACAGAGAAATTATGTTTTTACGATTTTGACATTTGTCTGAATGTTGTGCCATGAAAGTTTTTGTCGAGTAGACATGAATTTTTCAATTGTTTGTTTTTATAAAAGACATTGTTTTGCTAGCCTACTCCATGTATGTTGCTTTTATCCTATCATTATTTTTGTTAACATGGTCCGTTTATTTGAAGGTAAGATACTGAAGTGTTAAACAAAAGTCACAAAATTTCTGCTATATTGACTTGTGCTTTCTATTTTTGCAAATACCTTTCATCGAAATGTGTTTTACTATCTATTACATTTTATTGAATGTTTTGTTTTACCTCATGTGAACTCTCAATTTTGATAGTATCCAATAAAATGCTCGATCCATGTTAGAAATGTTAGAATCTCACTCTCTCTCTCTCTCTCTCTCTTTTCTCTCTTTCTCTCTCACTCTCTCCCTCCCCCCCCCCCCTCTCTCTCTCTCTCTCTCTCTCTTTCTTTCTCTTTTCCTCTCTCCTTTATCTCTTCTCTTCAGATTGACCACATAGGTAGCACATGATTCAATTTGTGACGAAGCGTTGCTTGGCTAGAGATTGAAGCATCACGCAGCTCCTTCGAGACTGAATCTTGAAACACAGCTCCAGGTACAAAACAAGAACATCGGTGTATTCAAGAGACAACACGCTATCATAGCTACTGCATCAACGACTAGCACGGAAGGTCTATAGTAAGGTGTTGCATGGTGTTATAACCATGAACAAGACAGTGTTATAATAGCGAAGGACAGAAAGAGGATTATTTGTATTTCTTCACACCACCATCAGATGAATGCATATCAAGATGAGTAGGAATATAACCCCATCTAAATGCTCGGAATGCAAGCTAGCCGTATTAGGAAGATGCAGCGTAGGAAAGTCAGGTGAGTGTTATCTCGTTTAGCTTCCATCTTTCATCTTTCATAAACGGTATTCAATTTAATTCAATTCAATTTATTAAAGTTTCCAACGAAACATTACAAATAATTTTTTTTTTTAAATTACAACAATTTAGGAATACATATTGGAAACAGAGGGGTCCACTAAAAACAATGCTTGTATAAGGTTAGTGTGGACCCCTCAAATGATACTTTGAAATAATGAGTGATTAAATTAAGAAGTTCGTAACAACAAAAGGAATTATAAAATAGGGCAAAAAGGGGATGCCAACGGAGACGAAAATGGGACAAGACAGTACTTTACAAGACAAAGATATAGGATAACACGGTCACAATACAAAGAGTAGACAATGCCATAAAAGAAGTAAGAGATCGGGGTTACAGAAAATAAAAATACATTCCAATTCCAAATCTAAACTTGAATGATTGAAAACATGATTCATAAGTTTCCTTTTTGCTCTGATACAGTTCATAAGGAGTTCAGAAATGTTTCATTTCATTTCCTTCAATCCCATATTTATGTTACTTAAATAAAACATTCGAGACGTCGACATAATGCGGACTCCGTGTGATAAATGAGTTACCCTGAAGCCTGAAGGGAGAGACCTGTATCAAAATCTTTTCGGAATCTGGAAATATCCAGAACCATTTCAATCCTGATAGATGAATGGTAATCATGATAGAGTACGTATGTAACGCCTGGGGGTATAACATGACCCACGTGACATCCCTAATGGATATACGAGGGGCACGCTGATATTCTACCTAATAGAGGCAAGCCCATTAAGAAATACGGCAGCAGTGTGATAGATAGGCTTGAACTTATAGATTGGAGAGAACCAAACAGTAGGAGCGTCTTTAGAACATAGTAGTGATAGGGGCGTCGGATAAGATTGCCAATACATTACCAATATGCAATACCATAAAATAAAAAACAAATCAGGTCCTTTAACTTTCAAATATGCCGTCGGTGTCCCCAAATTGTCAATTTTTGCTAAGAACAAGTATGGATTTGCAGTCTAGAAAATTTAAATTACGATAGGGGCACCCTAAACCGAGGCCTTGCTCTTTTGATGCAGCAGTTTGTGAGTGAAACCACACTATCGCAACTATTTTCGAAAAATCAACTCAAGGATAATTTCAATACACGATTGTACATCTCATGGAAATCATGTTCGGATTACGTAATACCTCTTTGTCATGTTCACACAAGTCATGGTGACACCCCCCCCCCCCCATCAGTGTTATTTAGGGTACGCATAATTTTATGCGTGTTCCCAGCACCCCCCCCCCCCCTTCAGCATAAGTCCGGTGTGTAAAGTCAAAACGAGTAGACCTTTTTCTTTTGTTACGAGCCGGAGATTTTAAGAACACGCATGCGGTCCCTCCGTTCCCGGAGTGTGGGGGTGGGGGGGGGGGGTGACACATAAGGCTATTTAAATTGCCTTGTGTTTAACAAGTTTTGAAAGTAGTTGCGATTGTGTTGCCCTAATAGTTGCATCTTGAATGAAATTAGCGGACTTGTGGTGGACGATTGCGGCATCTCCAATTATCAGATTTAGGCCATCTATTGTCTGGAATGTCAACACTTAATTTATAGGAGCAACTGAAACTATTTTCCGCGGCAATTGGGGACATTTACCACTTCAGATTGGCAGGCAAGCAGACACACCGTTCATCTTCTGGACCTTTCAAATAAACAACCGATCATTTACGTGTAGGTCCTATAGGTCTTGAACGGAAGACTTTCAGGACACATTTCGACACGATCTCGATCGAAAAACATTCAGAATCCTATTTTCTTTCCTTCGGCCTAGAGCGAAACACATTTCCAAACGAAAAATAGAAAACATCCTCATTCGCACCTCATAAAAATAACCTCCAATTGAGAATGAATGATACAAACATCCTTTCCCTTCTGGCTCTCCAAATCTGTTCATGATTTGTGTACAGTGTAAACGCCCCACGGCATGCCACACCTGATCAGTGGGGGTCGTTTTCACCAAAATATTTACTATCAAGCAGCGTGGGGGTCAGTGAAAGCAAGCGAGTACAGATGTCGACCCGCTTGGTAATATGGCGAGAGAGACAGAGACAGAGACATAGAGAGAGAGAGAGAGAGAGAGAGGAGAGAGAGAGAGAGACAGACAGACAGACAGATAAATAGACAAACAAAGAGACAAAGAGATCATAATTATATGGGAGGGGGGTGCGCTGATTTAAGATGAATGGATAATCAACATTTTATTTTCAATTTATAGAAAGAGAGAATCCTTTTTCACATGGTATAGTCAAAACGAAAAAAAAACCTTTTACTACGTATTTCTGTCATCACAGGAGAAGACTGAGATGGAGGAGACAGAATTGTTGGTAAAGAAAGTATTGTTATTACATCTTTGAGGGTTTTTTCCCTTTTATATTCTGTTTCTTTTCTTCTTTTTTTTGAAGAGAGAGAGAGGGGGTGGGCAGTATTGCTGACATATAAAGATTGATGTCACGGAGGCCTTGACCATAATTTATTAGAATGAACTTTTCCATTTTTAAACGATTTCTGTCATATCACCATTGCGTTTCGCCATTGATTTGGTTGATCGTAAAATGTAATACTATTTGTAGTGGCAGTTCCTTAGAGCAAATAACACGAGTTTTCGATAAAATGATTTAAGAAGAAAGACAAACCAACTGACATTTATAGGTTACGAATTTAAACGTGGCCTTCACTTTCAACCGACTTGTCTTGAACAATTCCAGAATCTTTCCAAAAATATGAGAAATTTACTGAGGCAGATGTCTATATTCAGTGCATGTTTCTCAGCATCTATCCGTGTGTCGTGTAAGTTGATGTGAACAGCTGTTCAGAAACGTCTTCGTAAAACCATTCTTTACAACTGCTACAAGGTGAACTCATTCTCACGGTCTTCATTCAAGATTCCATACATTCAATCTTTTAGATATAGGCTACATTTGTAATTTAAGATACAGACGATGCGGGTTTAGTCGTGGAAATATCATAGATTTTCCAAACAGTTGGAAACGCTAAGAAATATCGCAAGTTGTTTGTTTCATTTCGATAAACCTGCAAACGTAAAATTCATTTGCAACATACAAATATTGACATTGGCATTGCAGATTTTGCACAGACCAGGAGAAATATTTCAAATTTCGTGTTGTATGATTTGTAACTAGATGATTGTTATGGGGGGGGGGGGAGGCATACATAAATCTCCGAGTATTATTATTATTAGACATTCCTTTATATGCGCAATTCCTTTACCAAGCTAGTAACCTCTTACTTCACCTGGGTTGTGAGACAACAGACAAGATAAAATGACTTGTCTTTTAATATGACGAACGCGGCACAGAGAAGGATTCTAACGCTTAAAGGGCAATCCATCCCTTGTATTGTAATAAGTAGATTTGTATGGAAGCAGAAAAATAACAGAGACATAGAAGTCGTGGGAATAATCCACGGTGGTCCGTTAGGAATATTTGTTAATATATTTCTATTATTGGACTTTTTGCTTTGTTGTATATAAATGCAGTGATGTAGATTGTTATAGGACATGACAGAGCTTTGAAATTCTAGTACACCCTTGCTTATTAGCATGTCACGCAGGTCATAAAATGGTGTCAGTCGTGTTGTAAGCGATGTCATATTAGAGAGGTGCACTTCCCTGGTCAAATCAACCTCAGTAATTTCATCTAATCTTTCAATAACTCGAAGGTGGTAGGTTCATAGGATACCCTACTGATATATTTCACGCTTCTATTCCCTTGGTACTTTGCATGGACATTCAATAATCTCAGATTTATCCTCGGAATACATCTTCAAAATATACGCAAGAGCATGATTAGAACTTTTTGAAATTACTGTAAGACCGAAAACTTTCACGTTTATGAAACTTACGAACTGTTAATCTCTCCCCTCCCTTAGAAAAGAAAGAGATCCAAGATTTTGTGATTTATCAACGAGGATAAATTAATGGCCAAACGGTATTCTCATATTTTCACTTTAATCCACAAGGCTCAAGTAAAAAGAGGGGGTCCTACCCGAGACACCCCGAAAGTTTGATATTCTTTTATACGTAGCATATTTCATCAATTCCAAATTTGTGAGGGAAATGGTTTTAATGCTTCCTCAATCGCTGACTTTTATGGAACCCGCATTTCATAAAATATTGTCGGCCAGGCACTTTAGCTATTTTCGCTCTCTCTCTCTTTACAAAACGACGTAAATTACGGCTTGACAAACTAAAGGCGGGGCCAGGAAACACAGTCGTCATGGCAACGGGACCATGTAACATGAAGGACATGAATGGTGATCGTGTTCAATGTGGTATGCAATGTTTAGAAACATAATGACAGGATGCATCTGGAAACGATCCCCTAAAAGTCAAAACTAGACAATCTGTCAAACAACTAAATGTCTTCCGACGTAGAAGAAAGAACTATAGTGTATAAAGTTACTGCCGGATCGCCGTGACTTTCAACTTGCTCAAGGGCGAAGATCAGCTTGGCAATGGCTAATATAAACGGGTCTATTCTATTTTAATAGCTCAGAACTTCAGTTGTTTCTGACAGAGGTTGATTGCAAACATAATATACACAGCCAGCAAAAGAAAGGAAGGTTGTGATTTGTAAAGGTCGTTGGGCTGTATAGCATATCTAGAAAAAGGTTTACATTTTCAAAAAAAGGGCGTCGTACTCCTTTTTTGTTGTTGTATTTTTCTCACCATATTGACCCTATTGAAATTGGGGATATCATTATTTTATTTTGGCCATCAGGGGGTTATGCGTATCAAACCGAAGAGGAATACGATGACACCGCAAACATGGAAATCTATGGTATCCTTAAAGAATCAAATGAGACAAAATGAGCAGGCATAGACTATCAAAGTATCATTTCACTTACTGCACTTGAAGCAAACCCCTTCCTAAAAAAAGAAAGATAATTAATTTATAACTGATATGAAGACGGGACAATCTGAATGCCATCAGCGAGGAAGCGACTTTGACAGTGAAACTGAATCGGAAAGTGAGTTATCTAGCTTTAGAGACTTTCTTGTCATCAAAATATGGAATTAGGATTAGGGATTTGAACAAGATAACCGAGATGGTTAATTCGATGCTATCTAATCTAGAGCCTGAATTGAGTCTCCATCGTGACGCCATCATGATCTCAAGACGGATATGTAATACGTGACTTCTTGTATTCGACGTAATCATCACAAACTGGAAAGCTAAGCTAGGAGAAGCCATGATTAATTAGAGCCCATCTCAATTCGTTTATTTTTTTTCCATTTCCAGCCTGCTTTGTTCATATTTTACAAAAGATTTAATAAGATTTTTTCTCTCTCTCTCTCTCCTCTCTCTGTCACTCTTCCCCTCTTTCTCTTTTTTTAAATAAAAATCTGTCTGCCTCTAATATTTGTTCTATTTTTATCTCTCTTTCTCTTATCTAGCTAGGCATTGACGTTGATAACTTTCTTCCTACCAATTCTGCTACTAGTATTTTGTATAATTCTTTATGCTTCTTAATTCAACATCTTTAATTCTTCTTCTCTTTCTCGCCATCTCCTTTTACACCTGTCCCTCTATCATGAGTTCTTACAATCCTCTATGTTTCGTTTATAATTATACTCTCTCCTTCCCTCCTTGTGAAAATCTTCCCCCCCCCCCCCTCTCTCTCTCTCTCTCTCTCCCTCTCCATCTCCCTTCTTGTGAAAATCTTTGTCTCACGAGTGAAAGTTCTCCTCGGTGCCTCGACTTGGCCTTGTCTTGTCCTGTCTCGGAGCTGACAGATTTCCTCTGCTCTTGTTTCAGGATCCCATTTCGCGTCTTTACTCGACGCTAATGATCTCTTATCTATCGCCTATATGACCCTGGGTCGCGTACTTGACCTCGGGTCAACCCGGGGTCACGTGACCCGATCAGACCGTTCAGGACAGACAGCTACAATAAATCATTTCGTTCATCATCGAAATTTTTTAGGGATAGACCTGACGACGATATGAAGCTATCCAAATAAATTAAACGACTTTCTGCCTTTCTTTCTTCTCAATTTTATTCTGTGAGGTTGATTGTGACTTTTCGTAAGTCACATTCTTTGCTTGTAATATTGATTCCAATGTGGAGTAATTTTGGGGGGTCATAGCATGGAAATGAAGTAGATAAACAGTTCTTATTGTAACAGAACTATAAAGCCTGGTCTCAACAATAGTGGTATTTTGCCAATTTCCGAAACTAGATTTCATCTGTTTAGGCCTAGTGAATGGAACACACACACAAAAGGAGATAATTAAACATCTGAACCAACTCTAAGGAGAGACTGAGATAAAGATTGAAGACAAAAATAACTAGCTTTCATCTCACAGTTATTCTCTCTCTCTCTCTCTCTCTTTCCCTCCCTCTCTCTCTCTCTCTCTCTCTCCATCGCCAGTGTTCCCTCCCATTCGTATTGACTATATCACGAGGATGCGAGTTGTTGCCATGGTAATCTATGATCTTCAAACACACGAGCAGTCGGAGCAGGTGTATAAAGGACGAGTCGACCTGTTTGTTATCTCAGTTGTTGGCCGGATATCCTTCTTCAAATACTACCATGTAACACGAATCCTCCATTCTAGCTGCCTGGTGTCCTTCAGTCCCAGGCTTTAGACCTCGTGTGGCCTATTCCCAGCCGGGAATCTCAATCGGCCCTATGATAATTATCCAGACGTATGTAGCCAGGGGGGAACGGTCGCCCCCCCCCCCCCACAATAAAATAAAATAAATAAAAATAAAAAATAAAATAAAAAAAAAATAAAAAAAATACGCCGCCCCCCCCCCCAAAAAAAAAAGAAAGAAAGAAGAAAGGAAGAGGACAAAGGAAGAAAAAGGATTAAGAGTCGAGAACGGTACAACGAATTGTCTTCTTTCTCTAATAAATTATGAAACTTCAAAGCTTCTGCGCTTTGCGCGGAGGGGGGAACTGAATTCAGACAAGGATTTAGAGTCGAAAATGGTACAACGAATCGTCTTCTTTCTCTAATAATTTAATGAAATGTAAAAGCTTCCGCGCGGAAGGGGGCGAAACTCCCTGCACCCCCCCCCCCCCAGGGAGCGCGCTTCGCGTGCTCACTACCGCCCCCCCCCCCTAAAATAAAATCCTGGCTACGTGCTTGCTTCGCCAGCCAGCCCCACCCACCCGCCCGCCCATTCCCTATCTACGGTTTGAAGGCCTAGTGACAAAAAGAATTCAAGTTGCAGTGTCGTGATGGCTATGTGGTAGAACCATTAGGCCTACGGATATTGTAACTGGGAGGTTCCGGGTTCGAAACCAAGCTAGTACACTATGGTGTGGTATTGCTCCTTTATTATTACCAAGTCCGCTAGGTACACTGATTTCGTACTTACTGATGTAAACAGTTCGCCTCTGCTAAATCCCCCCTTAAAGTCTGGATATGCAATTGGAGTCATTGCGGTTATTTTTTTAGCAGTGCTTCTACAATTGCGGACCCCTCAAATGATAGTTAGGAATAATGAGTAATTCAATTAACAAATTCGTAACTACAAAAAGAAACTAGAAAAAAAAAAAGGGGGGGGGGATGCCAACATAGACGTGAAGAGAATACTTTACACGAGAAAGATGGGAGAACACGGTCACAAAACAAAATGAAGTAGCCAATGCCCCCCCCCCCCCAAAAAAAAAAAAAGAATTGAGAGATCGGGGGTACAGAATATAATACAACAGGATAGGTTTATAACGGGTTGGGGCAGCTATAGATATCTAGCTAATAATAGACAAACCGGTGTGAAGCTTTACAAACATAATTATATACATATATTTGTTGATTTGATCGATTCGGTTAAAGAGGAAATGTGTACGCACGCATGCAGAGATAGGAATATCATTTATTAAACATGTTTAAACCCAGCGATCAATGGGTGATGATACTACCCTCAATGTATCCAATAAATATCCCTGTCAATGGATGTTATTTTAGTCAGAGACAGGTGAAACTCGCATTGCACTTTTTTGTTCATTTCCTTCTGAAAACATAGACAAAGAGACAGATTGCATCGATGAGAGAAGATTTGTGAGAGGGCGCTATATAGGAAAATAGAATCCCTCCATTGAATGACGAACACTGATACTTTCCATCGTCTGATTCATTCGTTGTATCAGTTTGATTTGTTTTTACTGTTTGTTTTATGACTTTTGTTTTGCTCCCCACTACCACTACAAGATGTATATCCCGTTGTAATAAATGCTTATCTTAATGTACAGTCATAATGTTTGATAAGTCATGTTGCTAACTTTGTTTATTTCTTTCCCTCCCTAGCAACCATTGTGCGGTACCTGACTAAACGGTTCATTTGGGAATACGACCCAACATTAGGTAAGACTATAATCATATGACCTTATAGCCATGTTTCTTTTCTGACTTCATTTAATACCTTATGCGGATGTACATAATCGATATTTCCGTTCCGATATAGTATAAATTACACCATAGCTCTTCTCCTACATTCAATTCAATTCAAATGAGCCTTTATTTTCTTCCATTCAATTTGACAACATATTTGACATCTGTTCAAACAATACAATTTATACGTAGGAACATAAATATAATTCAAGAACTTGTATTACAAGGAAGAAGGCGCGAATCCCGATAAGCTGTATATAATAACAGGTAGACTGACGTTATAATTAGGAACCTATTATATTTACACAATTTTCTTCTTTTTCATTCTTACCCATATGTTCTGCAGAATTTATCTACCGCCACCAAACACCCGTCGATGATGAGCTCGTTTCCATGGAGATCTTAGATACTGCAGGACAGGTGAGATCAGGGTTCATTGATTCCCCCCTACTTCAAGGCCTCCCAAAGTATATTCGAGAAAGAAATCTTTTGACAAAATGTGTTAGGCCTAATTCGAGGAAATTCGTTTGTCAGAAAATTGTAGGTAGTGCGACTGTAAGGCAGAGCTCCAATAGAAAATGTTAATTATTCTAAATATTTATTTTTAAAGTTACTGCCAAAGTCTGGGGACAATTTCCATGATGACATTCAATATTTCAATTTGATATTTCAAAATGTATTAATGTACGTATAAGTGTAGATTTTGAGCCAGAAACTAAAACGTCAGTATTTCACATATTGCTATCCGTGTTTAAATAGAATGAATAACGACTTTTATCAATATAATTTTTATCAGTTTTCTGTATGTTTCTCTACAGGAGGTGGATAGCATACAGCGAGAAGGTCACGTGAGATGGGGTGACGGGTTTCTCGTAATCTACAGTATCACGGACCGGAAGAGCTTTGAAGAGGTCGTCCAGATCAAAGGCTTTCTCGACGAGATCAAGAAAGCGAGGAATGTATCCGTCGTCATCGTCGCTAACAAGTGCGATCTCGATCACATGCGTGAAGTCAGTACTGAGGAAGGCGAGAAGATGGCTCAAGAACTTGCCTGCGCGTTCTACGAATCGTCTGCATGCCGTGGTGATGAGAGTATACCCGAAGCCTTTCATGAACTATACCGGGAAGTCCGGCGACGACGAGCGATGGAAGGACACAAGTCCCGAAGGCGGAGCTCCATTCAACAAATGAAACAAGTTCTGAATAAAACACTAACGAAGATCAACAACAGACAATGATAATCATTAAGAATCGCGCCATTTGTAAAGGATATATATTTTTTGTTGATTCCTATAAATCTTTCACGAGTACAAAGCGGCGACTTACGTTGTGGTCTCCTGTCGAACTAAATGAACAGTCGAACTAAATGACAAGTCGAACTGAGAATACTTGACAGACAGTCTCCCTTGGTCTAGCATCAATCGTCTGTTCTATAAATTGTAAAATCATATAGGATCAAAGACAATGTAAATGATGTACGAAGTTCACTGATGCCGAGGAGGACGAGAGACTCCAGCTTCAATCATTTGAACATCTAGAGGAATAGCACTGATCTTTATCATGCATATGAAATGCTGAACTGAAATGTTTTAAACCGAATATGGTTATTCTTAAACATGTGATGTGCAAAAATAAAATATGAGATTGACAAAAATGTACTGTTTACAAACCTGTTTAAGCTAAGCAGTAAGCAGGCAGTGTACACCAAAGCTTGCAGTTGTTCGCATGTCATGTATGGATGAATAATAATTATCCTTAGTTTGAAACTGTTGTCTTTAAAGAGAAAACGGAAGTCAGAATCCATTGCGACTTTCCACCATCACAAAAATAGCGTTTTGTTGCTATCGTCTGATCGCTACCAACAATAACAGGGGCGCATATGTACTTCGTAACACTGTACATGTTGTACTATTATGTTTATTTGTTTGGTTTACAGACTGCTAAGAAAACATGTGTATGCTTGTAGTTAAGCAACCAGGGAACCGACGGCTTTAAGTCCTATCCGAGGGAATTGGTAATGAGGATTAATGTGTTACAAATGTCTTCATCAACTTGGTTTCGAAAAGGAACCTCCTGTGTATGAGACCCCTGCTCTACCACTGAGCCATCGCACCCCCCCCCCCCCCCACCCCCACTAAAAGGAAGCATTACATTTCATCAAACAAAATGTGTTTAAGGCAATGCCATGACTAGATAATAAAGAGTTATTAACGAAAACTCTGTTAATCATCATCATCAACAAAATTGGTCTTTTTTTATTCAGTTTATCCGAGAATGCTTCATAGCTAGATTCACTTAATATTCGTTTGATCGGAGGATGAATAAATACACCAGCAATAATTCTATATTTGATCCGAATGTCGCAATCATACACGACATGATGGCACGCGGTTCATTATTCCCCTCTCACCCCCCCCCCCCCCCCCACTCTCATGGGGACACGTACGTGCTTTACAATCGAAGGATGAAAAGAAGAAGAAAAAAGCCCCAAAACGATAGAAAAGAGAGAGAAAGGAAGAGAGATGAAAAATGCAACCTAAACAAAAGAAGGTGATACGAACTCCTACCACACCCTTCCCTCACACTATGTACTTGTTCTTTCACGTTTTATCTACCTATTATTTCCGGTGCCCCCCCCCCCCCAAAAAAAAAAGGAAAATGGGGGGGGGGGTAGGTGAATGATAATAATAATAGCTCACATTTATAATGCGCTTAATACTTTGTTTCTAGGCGCAGTACATATCATCACCCCGGTCATCGGATTCAGGATTAGGTGTTTGCACATTCTCCTCTCTCTGGGGAGCATTCCGGCCAGTTGCCATTTTACAAGCGCCACTTGTTCATCCAACCACATTAACAGTGGCAAAGAGTGGCAAATGTAAATTAACGTCTTGCCAACGGACATTAGTGCCGTGTCGGGATCGAACCACGACCTTCGAATTTCAAGTCAGGTCCTTAAACCCCTGTGCCCTTTTTTGTGGTTGGATCCATACGACGTCACTAGGTTGCTGGATTTTGGGAGTCATTTACTCGAATCATTTATGACAACATGCTCACTCACGTAAGATAGAGCGGATATTGATCAAGAATATTGACACTGTTTGTTTTCCTTCTGATATAGAACCTTTGTTGTGTGGAACCCTTTTCAACATGTATAAGTTAAACAATAATTAAAGTTAGACGGGGATCTTAAAAAGTAAATAATTTGACAATGCGTTTTGGGATACACATTATGATGTATACCATTTGTTATTTTCTTGCCCTCTTTTTGTGTGGATTAGACTGACTTACATACATGAACGGTTATGTGTACCATGGTGTCATGTACGAACATTCTTATCCGTAATAATACCCTAGCTGTAGCCATATCCAAATGAAGGATCGAGTATTGAATATGTGTGTTATTTCTAGGTCTATAAACAAGATGAACATCCTTTTCTTACATCCATCTACATGTTTTGTTTCGTGAAGTGTATGAAATACCGCTGGGATAATGCTAAATATATTACTCACTGCGGATGTAGTATCGAAAATAATATTGCTAGTGGTATTCGTTTGTCTCGCAATGTATGGTTCCTTGTTGACCATACATTGACTATACATTGCGAGAAAAACGAATATCAATAACGATATTATTTTCGATATCGCTAGGATCTTTCAAATTTTAATGTAGATTCGCTTGCACGTGTATCATGATCAGGATGGTGCAGTTAGGTTCAGTAAGATATGAGATTATTTGCAGTTAATTCCGTCTTCCATTTACGACATTTACCCCCCCCCCCCCCCCCCCCCCAATATTCCTCCACGATTCATTGCACTTCGGTCATTAATTCATCAGATTGAAGTCCGAGGCCATTTTCTATAAAACAATCTGATGTAAAGCCGTTGTGAACGTTTTCATATAGCATCTGTTCTGGAGCCATGCAGAAGGGCTTTAACCCTGTGTAAAATGATTCAAGTTAATGCCCTTTTGGCACTAAATAGATGATATAAACCCGTTGTGGATTTCAAGTGAAAAGCTTATTGGCAGTGTGTGTACATTTAAAAGACGGACTGGGTCACAATGTATTTCCATTGTCATTGTGATCATTTGCATTGGTTATGTAATATTTTTGAATACGTGATTTAGATATATATGCATATATGCCGGAGCATGTAGTACTTTAATCCTGTTCATCGCTGTTAAAATTAATGTAGTCTGCATTAACTCGGTATATTACTCCAAAAACTAAATAAACTAAACATGACAAAAGCACCGTTTGCCCGATAGCAACAAAAAATTAAAAGGATTGTCACCAAGTATATAACAGGGATAATATTATTATGAAATCATTGACTGCTCTCTCTCTCTCTCTCTCTCTCTCTTTCTCTCTCTCTCTCTCTCCCTCTCCCCCTCTCCAACCTCTGCACTGTTTAAGAAAATGTTTTTGAATTGTTCTTTGTTCCACGTGTTTCTTTTAACCTGCCCAAGTAAAATGATACTGAAAGTCATTCAATTTGCAAATATTATTTTCTCATGAAATAAAAAAATTGTAAATACTTTTGTGTGTATTGACAAAGAGCTATGTTTTGAAAGTGATGATTTTTTATAAAATGGATAAGAAGTTTAATAAATGATTTGTCTTTACTTGATACAAATAGTCTCAAAGTTTGCTGTTTTATATAGTACCGCTTATATCCTGCATAAAAATGTATCGGTTTTTGATTGGTTGAGAGCTCTTCACATGATCAAAAATATACGGCTCCCAAGCCATATATTTTACCTCAACTAAAAGTAATATTTCCGACTAGCAAAAAAAACTGTAAAATGTCAAGATGTTAATTTTTTGTTTAAAGTGTTTTTTTGATAATTTTTGTTAATTTAACAAATTTTATTGAAATTCCCAAAAATGTACATTTAAATAGATTTTTAAATACATTTTTGATGCAGGATATGAAACAAAATACCCTGCCTTCTTTTCAAGGTACAGGTTAAACTATGGGCCTATGTGACTCAATAGTCATCTCTTGCCCAAAGTTTCAACCAGAGCCTCTCAAGACAGTGTGTATATGTATATTATAGTAATAAAAAAATGAATGCATATCAATATATCAAATGACAATACCTGAAACAAAACATGTATTACAAATTCCACATTTCATGTGATATTTATTACATTCAGCTCCTGAATCATCGTACAAAACAAGCAACACAAAGAGGAAGACACAGTCTCAAATATCTTAGTTCATTACACATATTTCTCAAATATCGTACTTGGGCATATGATGGAACTTTCAAAGAAATTGTGCATGGAATAAGAATACATAATCCATATTCTACACCCTGTATTTAAGATGATGCTAGTCCAAAGTATTACAAGATGTCACTTTAAAACAAAACCTGTTTCAAAAGTGTCAGAAACTTTTCTACGAGTGAAATCCAGCAAAAACTCTGACGGAATTGAAGGTTTGTAAAAAGATAAACAGATTTTTGCAGCTCAATGATTTTGTAAATCATACAATGTAAGCGCGACAAACGTATTGATTGTAGCGTTGTGGGCGGGCTCTCATGTATTCTCGTTACCGAGAAATATAAAGTAAAATACATATTCAACACCCTGTATATAAGATGACGCTAATTCAGTCCAAAGTACATGTATTACAAGATGTCATCTTCTCAGACACCATTTCACATAAATTCATCAGTTCTGTTTTTCTTGAAGCGGGGTCCTGGATGTTAACCTCCAAACCAACTCCAGGGGTTAGTTTCACAAAACTTGTCATCAGTGACAAATTATTTATTTTTTTATAAGCTAGTAAAATACTTGCTTCTGATTGGTGATCAGCAAATTTGTTACTGATGTTTATCATTTGTCATTGAAAAGAGGCTTTGTGAAACAGGTCCCTGATATCAATAGAGTGACCGATTTTTGGATATTCATTGGAATGTCATTTTTCAGTTGGTCTTCAGCCGATCCGGTTGGTTTAACTGAAGTAATTATTTGAGCACATTCTGGTAGTAAAAAGCCCAACCTGAAATATTGTTATCAGAAATACCAGGGTCCTGTTTCATAAAACTTTTTTTATCAATAACAAATGCTAAATTTCTATGACAAATTTGCTCTCAGCCAATCGGATGCCATGATTTCAGTAGCTAATAACAGCAGCTTTTTCTTAAAATCAAGTTTTATGAAACAGGGTTCTGCACCATTAGTTAATGGACTAAATGGGGATATCAAACAATACATGGTTGTATAGCATAGAGTCATGTAGAAAATACTTAAACCATCTCAGTGACAAACATCAAATATTAGAATAATATACCATTACACTAATTTGGGAGTGTCGTGGTCGAGTGGTTTAAGGCGCTTGACTGTAGATGCGAAGGTCGAGGGTTCGAATCCCGACACGGCACTAATATCCTTTGGCAAGATATTAACCTGCACTTGCTACTCTCCACCCAGGTGTCAAATGGGTACCCGGTAGGATGCGGCCGTTATTGTTGGTCAAACAGCTTGTGAGCGTCAAGTAACGCCCGGCTGGAATGCTCCCCAGGGAGTGAAGATTGTGCATACAGCGTGTGCGGGCAAGCACTGAATCCAATGATCGGGGTAATAGTATATTTGTAAAGCGCTTAGAGACATTTGTATTAAGCGCTATATAAAAATTAAATATTATTATTATTATTAGCTTGGTGATAGAAGGCCTCAGAAGTTACATAACGAGGTAGGTGAAAAACTTGAAGAAAAGCAAAGGAAGGGTTGATTCACACATGTCTTCAAATTCTATGCAATCGTTTCTTATTGTATTTCCGTTTTAAATACTTATACAGTCAAACCTGTCTATAGCGACCACCCAAGGGAAACACAAAAAGTGGTCTTTGTAGACAGGTTCCTTTAGTACATGTTTCAATGAGAAACCATTTTCAAGGGAAACAAAAAATGTGGTCTCTGCAGGCAGGTGGTCACTAAAGCAGGTTTGACTGTATAACACTCACCATATATTGGTGATACCCTGAATTTTTTACTACCACACATTGGTAGATCTTGATGTGGCAGTGGCCTAAAGTGGAATGCGTCATTTATAGGCAAAAACAAAAGCCAGTTTAAACATTTATAACTCACGACTCACAAACATATGAATCATCTGCCAATTTGAAAATAATTATATCTCACAAATCGTCATTTTACAGCAAACTACAGAGGTAGAGAACCACTTGAATTGGTCCATATGAGCTCTCTTTCAGAGTCTGCTCACTCACAACATTGCAAAGTTTAGTGACTCTACAGTCTACAGTTCATATAATCTGGATGAGAAATGACATTTTGATGAAATGTATTTCATGCATTCATCAATGATCACAGGCTCATTTTCTAGTACTTTTGTCAAAATATTCAAGGGACTTACAATTTTCTTGGTCAGTCAAAATAACATTTTGTATCAATACATGCAGTAATTATCATTTTCTCCTTTGTGTTCTTGGGGAAATAAGACAATAAAAAAGTGGGGGTCTGAGTATACCATATTAACATTTCTCTTAACCACTACTTTGTGCTCAGTAATATATGCTTATACAATGTAACTTCAAATTAAAGGGGCGTTATTGACATAATTTCAATGAATTAGGGCCAAGGCAGGGGGACCACAAACCGATCCAGAATTCTCTTAGAAATCTGTGCACAAAATTAAGATGCGCTGATCTTCTGCAGAGAGCATGAAAGTCATTATCACATTATGTTTGCAGTCTGTATGCCCTCTCAGCTCCCTGGAGAAGATAACTAGAAGGTTATAAATAACCTAAAGAAATCTTCTAAAGGGCAATGTCAATACCCTATTGCCTATAGAAACCCTGTTCAAATGGTTGTTCAAATGGTGTAACACATCATTGTAATAATTCAAGAAATTAAAATCAGTGATGGGCAACAGCACAAGGGTATTGACAGCAGGTTGGTTTCTTTGTGATTATTAACGAAGCTGTTTGCTCCCTCCCCCTGCCCCTCCCCGACTTTGCGACTCCTCTATGGCCATTTAGAAGACATTACAGATTACAAATAAAATGAGATTGCTTATTAAAGATGACTGCCTCATCTGTCCGTCTCTCCTTCTAGTAGTTGATGATATGCTTTCATCCCAGCCTCCTTGTATTGTTTAGCAACCTCACCTGGATTAGAAGCCTAGAGAACAATGGAAAAGAAATTCTTTATTTCATCAATCTTTTGAGGTAAGTGAAAACAATCATAAGTAACTAGATGACTACCGTAGTCGAAAATGATGCCTCCGTCATAGAGCGATTTTACAAACCAAAACAGAAGCGATTTTTACAATTCGTTGCGGAGGCATAAAAATACAATATTATATAAAACATTGAAGATCATTTCCCCTCTAAACAAACTTATAGATTGGGAAATTTAATTTGTTGGTATTATTACTAAACAGAAAATTTAGTTAACTTATAACTTTTCTTCAAGGTTTCAAGGTTTCTTTCCCATCATTTTCAGCCAAATTAAAAACACAATTCAAATGTTTTCAGGATCTTTTTAACATTTAAAATAGAGCCTTTAAATAATCTACCACTTCTATTTTTGCTAAGATTTCATTCCATTTGAATAATACATTGTTCACTAATCTCCACAACTAGGCGTTGTGGCGTGCGCCTGTAATCCAGCTAACAATGGAAGTTACAAACTGATTCAGCAGAGGACGCAGGTTCAAAACTGAGTCACGTCTTTCGGATGGTGACGTTTAAAGGTCGGTCCCTAGACGTAAATAATCATATCTGATTGATACGCGTCTGTAAAAAAACCAACACTCACACTCTCCATGTCTCTAGGAGTGATAATTGACTGACCTGGTATATTCCTCGGCCGACAATGATGATGTCACTTTTCCTGTTTGTGATGACCTCTGAAGGGGTCAGATACCGTTGACCTAGGTTGTCCTTCCCTTCAACAAGTTTCACACCTAAGGCAGAGTTAATACAAGAGAGATTGGTTTGGAATATGAAGCTGATTAAAGGATGTATTGGAAGGAAAATGGAAGGAGGTAGACCTAGAGAGAGAGACCCAGAATCAACTGGGAAGAGAATGTCAAGAACTGGAGTGGACTAAAACTGCAAGAGTGCACCAGAATGGCAGAAGATAGAGTGAAATGGAGAGATGTTGCAATCAACCTCCGAACCGAGAGAAGATACTTAGATAGATGAAGCTAAGACATCATTCGCTTCACACCTATGTTAAACCAATACTTATAAGAACCAGATGGTCCCTTTATCAAGCCTATGGGAATAACAGAATTTAGTCATCAGTAAAACAAGAGATATCATAATACTCTTTAACTTCACCTATATGCACATAAAATCAAATCAAATAGAATCCTCATGAAGATTTGATAGAACATCAATAGAGACTAAAATTGGATTGCACAGAAAAATGGAAGTTTCAATTATCAAAGAACATGAGCCAGTTTTAATACACTGAACAAAAGTATCCAATATCTCATTGAAGTGTATATAATTGTCAATGTCATGTGAATAATCACATTCTCTCCTATCAATGCTCAAAAATAATCCTATAGTTATTTATTATAAACCGTTCTTTCTTTGGGCAAGATTATTATAACTGTTGCTGAGCTAGCGCCATGATCGTTCCAGGACGGTGTGTGCGCTCTATAAGTTTACACTATTATTATTATTATTATTATGATGCATGTGTACCTGGGGTCATATGGATGAACTTGGGGTCAGGGGTCAAAGATGAGGTAGAGATGAAACCAATCACAAAGTCACTGTTCTCTTCAGCCATCTTTACAGTTGCTATGGAGATACAGAAAGAAAAAAATCAAAAGTTAAGAGATGTTCAGAAGAAGCAGTATGGAGCATCTCTATAAAATGAATCTCTGAATTTACACTTAGTTCTACATAGTGGTATATCAAGTTTTAAAATCATAGTTGATTGATAATTGGACATTGCATGTACTGATAATGCATATCTTGAAATTCAAAATGGGGGTATGATTCACAAAGCTTATTTTTGTATGCTATTGTGTAAACATGTAATTCCAAAGACTTCACACCAAAGATGAATAAACTCAAGGCGAGCTATAAAGTGTAAATACAAGAAATGATAAAAGAAACTTTGTATTTGGTCTAGTTGAGGAAACTGTACACAGGATATTCACTTCACCCCCTCCCCTCCCCCCCCCCCCAAAAAAAAAAAGATGCAATGGAATGTTTACAATTTGTTTGTTTTACAAGATTTTCAACCTTACCTTGAGTATAATCTCCCATTGCTAGGTTACCACTAGAGCTCATCTGACCAATGAGGAGGCAGGCCCTGTTCTTAGCCCCTCCCACGGCCTTGAGACCGCTGATGGTGCCTGGTCCTGCTACTGAGTGTGCGTTGGTGATATGAGACCACTCTGAGATCCTATACACACCTGAGGAGTACTGATGCTGCACTGTGTTTCCAATGTCAGCAAACTTCCTGAGGTGCACGAACGGAATTAAAGTGACATTTTAGAAGGTTGATGAAAAAAATGTGTACTTTTCGTATGAAATGTTACTTATTATATTCCTTCTACTGTAGTTTTTGTATGAAATGTTACTTATTATATTCCTTCTACTGTACTTACCCTCTAACATGCACACAATTCTGAAAAAATTCTCAAACCACAAAGATATTTATGGTTTTCTTTGAAGGCCTCACTGTGCGACAACCTCTACCAGTAAATTCTCCCAACCAGTTTTTGAATTTTCCCAAACATTTTTCGATAAAAGTAGGACATCAAACATGCTGTTCAAAATCTTTCAGTTTATTTACGTTCATTTGAAAGACAAGTGACTGCATTATCACAGCCAGTAGAAATATGATCGTAATATTTCCAACAAAGCAATCCATTTTGGAATCATCTCATAGTCGGGAAAATCAAGAAATTAAACTGTTTGTTTCATCGGCTTATTGAAAATTCTTTATATAATACACTAGATGGAACTTCGACTGCGCGCAGTCGAAATGATGACTCCGTCATAGAGCAATTTACAAACCAAAACAGAAGAAATTTTTCAAATTCAAGTTCAATTGTAATCCATTAACAGGTTCTCAGAATATCGTGATTACAAGCAATTTCTCATATACATATATGACCCTTTGATCTTTGACCTCATGACCCTAACATCTACTCAGTTCATTGGCTCTGCAAGATGTCCCGAGTTAAATAGTAATCAATCTGTCAGTTCTAATGAGAATGCATTCACAAGCTATTTTTGCATACATAATGAGCCCATGACCTTTGACCTTTGACCTCATGACCAAAGAATCTACTCAGTTCTTTGGCTCTGCAAGATACATACATGATCTAAGTTTGGCAGGAATCCATCAATCTGTTCTAATGATAATGCGATCACAAGCTATTTTTGCATACATAATGAGCCGCATGACCTTTGACCTTGACCTCATGACCCCAAAATGTTATCAGTTCATCGGCTCTGCAAGTAACATACATGACCTAAGTTTGGCAGGAATCCATCAATCGGTTCTTCAGATAACGCGATCACGAGCTGTTTTTGCATACATAATGAGCCCTGTGACCTTTGACCTCGTGACCCCAAAATCTAATCAGTTCATTGGCTCTGCAAGATACATACATGACCAAAGTTTGGCAGGAATCCATCAATCGGTTCTTCAGATAATGCGATCACGAGCTGTTTTTGCATACATAATGAGCCCTGTGACTTTTGACCTTTGACCTCGTGACCCCAAAATCTAATCAGTTCATCGGATCTGCAAGATATTACATGATCAAAGTTTGGCAGGAATCCATCAAACGGTTCTTCAGATAACGCGATCACGATAACGGGATGGACGGACGGACGGACGGACGGACAAGCCGAAACCATAATGCCTCCGGCTACTTCGTAACGGAGGCATAAAAACAAAGCTTGTTCATGAGGATTATAGAGCTTCACTAGCTCAGTATTTAATGATACAGCTATAAAAATGAATATAGCAGGTCCCAGTATGTAGCCCTGGGGTACCCACCTGTCTTCGAATATGAGGAAGTTATGTTTCTGAGCCAGGTCCTGTAGAGACTGAATGAAGGTAGCACTGAAGTCTTCAAGGATGTCTACATGGGTCTTTAGAACACAGATGTATGGACCAACTTGGTCTGCCAACTGAAAAAACAATGCATACAAACGCACTGCTAGAAACCATTCATGAATGAGGCTTTAAAAAAAAGATGTTGTATTGCCATTTGCAACCAACCCCAAAATCTTGAAATTAACGGTCAGCTTTTTAAAAAAGTTTTTTTTTAAACTGTTTTTTAGAAAGAAATTTTGAATGAATAAAAAAAGCATTCAAAACTAAAAAATATCAGCCCGAAGAGGGGAAAAAAAAGCAAAAAAAAAAGAAAGAAAAGATTTCTGACCGACCGACCCATGTTTTGGCACGTAAAGGGCAATACAACATCTTTTTGTTTTAGGCCTTATGAGAATGGCAGCATCATTATGTAATGAGCAACTGTTTTTGCACACATCACTTTTGCTTCTTAAAAATTGTGAAAGAACTGATCTTGAAATCATTGAACTTTATTGACTGATAGAAAACTTGTTTATAAATTGCACAAATTATTATCAATTGCCAAGTTCTAACAAACAGGGCTGACCTACTGAACTGAAACATAGACGAATGACAGGAACAAGTTTGTTGATTTATAAAAAGCTTAGTGAATAAGGAAAGAAATGTAGGCGTATGGCTATCTGATAAACTTTGGATGAAACATGAAAAGAGGGAGGTTACCTCTAAAACTTGACTCGACGTTGTCACGTCAACAGAGAATGCTAGATTGGTTTGCTTGTCCTCCATGATGCTAAATAGTTGCTTAGCAACAGGATGCTCACAGAGCTCCGTCCTGGCTTTGTAACCAAGGTACTCCTAGAGGAAAGAAACAGTCAAGGACCTTTTTTGTATAAAAAATAAGAATTCACGAGACAAGTATTCAATGATCATAAAGCCCTCGATAGCTGGCCTCAATAAAAGACTGTCCCATGAAATGTTGCCACTACCATTATTGGACTCATGTCATATTTTAAGAAGAAATGGAGACAACACTTTGTCAAAAAACATTATTGCAATATCAAACAGAAAACCATCAATGGCAGTGAAAACAATGAAAACAAATAAGTATTGGCCATCTAACTGAGGAGGCATGATGGCTCATTGGTAGAGCAGCGGTCACGTAACAGGGAGGTCCTGGGTTTGAAACCAAGTCAATGCACTCGGGCCATGTGGTAAGGCATTAATCCTCATTACTAAGTCCCTCAGAGCGGACTTAAAGCCATTGCTCCCCTCGCTGTTTACTAACAAGCCTACCGGTACACACTTTCTTAGCAGTCAGGTAAAACTAATTTTTGTCTTACGCAATTGCAGTGACGCACAAAAATAAATAAATACCCACAGGCAATAATTTTCCTCAAATTTTCTGATTAGCAATTTCAGCCGATGGATAAATATTTCAAATGAAATTCTGTACATTTCTATGGAAGAAAACTGCTACACAAAAGATATTTTGTATAGCAGTCATGCAAAAATGCATAGCAAATTGCGATGCGATACCAGGAAAATTATTCCCTGACCCATTACAAAATGTACCAGCTGTGTATGTCAATCTACGCGACACTGTGACAGGAAAATCAAGCCATGGAATGACAACACTTCAATGCAATGTACCCTCTTTGATTTCTTAGTGGTTGGTTCTTGAGGCAGATTGTCGATCATATTCTTCTACTCCTCCCAGCACCCCCCCCCCCCCCTTCAAAAGAGAAAATGATGGAGACAGTAACTATAGTAACGCAGAGTTGAGCTTACCCTCCTTGGTTTCTTAGCGGCTGGTTGTTGAGGCAGACTGGTGATCATATTCTCCTGAATGAATAGCTTCACACTCTGTACGACCTCCGCACTGATCTTACCATGAGAATGCAACACTTCAAGAACACGAGGAAGGTCAAAGGCACTGAAGGTCAAAGGTCATCAAGAGGATATCATTATTATTAGAATGTAAAAACAATGTTTTATTCACATGAATTCTACATCAATACTTGGTATCTTTTTATATAATGAAAGATGTTACGTACATGGTTGTTAATGGCAATCTATTTAAACATATTTGTGGCTTACACTAGTAAATAAGATCGATTGATCGATCTGTATTGAAAAACAAGTCAGAAAAAATCTTGGAACCAGGTGGACTTGAACCTGCATCTACTGCTTGCCGGGCAGCGACTCTACCACCAGGCCACCACTGGTCCATGGCACAGTCACGATGAACTAGACCAAATACCTAAGCTCTCCTGATTCACTAGGTGTAAGCCACAAATATGTTTAAATAATTGAAATTTCTCCCAGGAAGCATTACATTTATAAAATGGCAATCTATTTGTTCTCCATTATGTCTTGTTTTGAACTATCAGAGTTCTTCTGATATCATTTGATACTTTCTCAGCATTTTGTGAATATTATTTAACAAGAAGAACTCTTTTTTTTTTAATGAGAGCTCCAAGGGGGTGATTAGGTAGTTGTGTAGGTGGTTGTGTACTTGGTCATTTTGGTGTTATTCAGAGTCCATTTGTTTTCAGCTTTCAGAGCTGCATATGTAACACACAATAACAAGAAAATGAGGTCTAATGTACTTCATGTGATGTTTGGTTTACAAATGTATAGAGTACCAGTATACAACTTTGTGACACATTTAACCCTATGACTGCTAATTCTCTCATTCCTATTAGCTTCTTACAGGAACCAAAGATAAATAAATAAACTTAAAGGCACACTGTCCTACTTGTAGCTACTTGCTCCCTCTATATAGAAAACCTCTCCAATCAGTGCCTGTTGGTCCCCCATGATCCTCGTTTTCTTATGTTAAATGAGAGCTGAGTTAACGAGATAGCCACCTGTCACATTGACCTCACTGGCTCACTTGGTGGTCTAATCCCTTCTGGCTGAAGTAGTAAAGCCTGCCTTTAAAGGTATAGACCAGTTCTGGTCATGCGATTGCATTGTGAAAGAGGTGTTGTGGTTAAAAAAAAATTCTGTCATCTCTAGTTTTAAAATTGTCTAAAGACAAAATAAATATTTATCTCTTATTGAAGTGCTTTGCAACCCATATTTATAACGGCAGTTCAATTGATTCAGGATGAGCTAGAATATGATTAGTACAAATTAAATACTTAAGTTTTAAGGTGGATTAATTTTAGTGGTATGCAAAACTGCAATTTCTTACATATTTCATTATTTTTTTCAGAGCATTTTGAGGACTCAAAATATCCTGTACCTGTGTATAAGGTGCACCCCCGACTTTTGATTTTTTGCCAACGGAAAAAAGGTGTGCCTTATACACAGAGATATACGGTAATTTACCTGTAGAGGTTAATGCCTGAATCTCTGAGCCTAGCAGCACCTCCCTGCGCTCTGTCTAGAAGCACGATGGCGTCTGTCACCTTCAAACCAACCTCAGCTAGGGACTGGAAAGAAACAAGTGTGATGAAAGAAATTGACCAACTCTCACAGCAATAGTATAATAATACAGTATTGCTTGGAATAAAGTTGACAGTCTCACACTGTGTCACGCGTGACTGCATGCATTATCCCATATACCTTGGTGTGACTTGGTGCTTGGAATAAAGTTGACAGTCTCACACCGTGTCACGCGTGACTGCATGCATTATCCCATATACCTTGGTGTGACTTGGTGCTTGGAATAAAGTTGACAGTCTCACACTGTGTCACGCGTGACTGCATGCATTATCCTATAGACCTTGGTGTGACTTGGTGCTTGGAATAAAGTAAACACTCTCACACTGTGTCACGCGTGACTGCATGCATTATCCCATAGACCTTGGTGTGACTTGGTGCTTGGAATAATGTTGACAGTCTCACACTGTGTCACGCGTGACTGCATGCATTATCCCATAGACCTTGGTGTGACTTGGTGCTTGGAATAATGTTGACAGTCTCACACTGTGTCACGCGTGACTGCATGCATTATCCCATAGACCTTGGTGTGACTTGGTGCTTGGAATAATGTTGACAGTCTCACACTGTGTCACGCGTGACTGCATGCATTATCCCATAGACCTTGGTGTGACTTGGTGCTTGGAATAAAGTTGACAGTCTCACACTGTGTCACGCGTGACTGCATGCATTATCCCATAGACCTTGGTGTGACTTGGTGCTTGGAATAAAGTTGACAGTCTCCCACTGTGTCACACGTGACTGCATGTATTATCCCATAGACCTTGGTGTGACTTGGTGCTTGGAATAAAGTTGACAGTCTCCCACTGTGTCACACGTGACTGCATGTATTATCCCATAGACTTTGGTGTGACTTGGTGGTAATGTGTCTACTTTATTTCAAGCAATACTGTAGGTCACAATGTTTGAAAGAAGATTCAAGATTCAGGCATACAGTGCAAAGGCGTTATAATGAGGTCCTTGGGACCAAGGAAATTACCTCGTAATATATCCCAAATCTCGTTATATCAGGGTAAACAAACAAAAGAATAAAAAAAGAGGTGGGACCAGCAAAATTACCTTGTTATAACAGATACCTCATTATATCAGATCATTTTATACTGAGATTGCACTGTATATTGATTTTAGCCACGATATATGTACACACTTGCCCTAACTGACTTTTACATCTTTCTGATTTTCAGTTCTTCAATGGTTCAACAAAGCTTGTCATGAGAAGTCCTCTTTCATCAATTCATCAGTGCACACATTGATTAAATGTACAAACCAAAACAGTAATGACTCTTTTCAATGGGAACACTTTGTACTGTTCACTTGTATCAGCACAATCAATCATTAAAATCAATGCTAATTTTTAAGACGTCAATTCAAATGATTGATTGTGCTGATACAAGTGAACAGTACAAAGTGTTCTCTTTTAAAAGAGTTATTACTCTTTGGGTTTGTATCGATGGCGCTGTAATAATGGTGATGGTGACAGCCAAGTATTACTCAGATTAAAATGATTTGTTATTCAGTTGTGTTGTCTGGTACGGGAGGTGTAGAAAGAAAGACTTTAGCAAGCTCCAGAGAATCACCAAACAAGCAGGGAAGATCACGAGTGAAATTCAAAATCTAATTGAAGCATGCCAATCCAAAATAATTCTAGAGGTACAACAAATTATCTAAAATGAAAATCATCCACTCTTTCCATACTATGTTTTTATGCGTTCTAGTAAACGACTTTGTTCAATGAACTGTTGCACTCAATGTTTTCTAAATTCCTTCGTTCCTTTCTCTATCTGCAAAATGCTACCTGAATTTTATGTTCTTCTTTATTTCTGTAATGTTATCTTTTGCAACCTTTCCAGGCCATCTTGTTCACTCGAACACTTAAAATAATTCACTTATTTGTTTATAATAACATAAAAAACTTCTGTATAGCAATATTCTAAAGGATTGCTATGTCAAAGTATATGATATATTATGTATGTAAATTTATTTTTTATTCTTTGTACATAAATGCAAGCAAAACAAATTTGCAATAATGAACAATAAATTGAAATTGAAATTGAATTACCTGTGATGTTTCCATGACGCTTGACCCACTAGTAACTACATCCTCCACGATCAGGCAAACATCACCTTGCTCAAAGACACCCTCTATCATCTTCTTAGTGCCATACGACTTGGCTTCCTTTCTTCTTATCACCATAGGCACCTTCTGCTTCACAGCCATCAACTGAACAAACAAAACAAATGGAATCCAGGTGACACAAAGACGTAACTCCATTTAGGCCATTTTGAGAAAAAGTGTTTAATATGTGTCACTGAGCACTTGGGCCTTAAAGGGATTGTTTAACAATGTTTAATCTGAGATACATGGTCCTACATGTTACCAGTGTCAGTGATATGGTGTAATATTGAAGCCCTAAAAAAAATCGCGCTTCAAAATGATCAAGAAGTGCCTCAAGAAAGTAAAAATCTTTGAGTGACCGGTTTTACCATACTCGTTTTTCCCAATAGACTGTAGTTTTATGAAAACCGTTCAACGGTTTTCAAAATTTGTAATTCCAATCATTAATATCTTGATAATCAGACAGGCGATTGGCTTGTAAAAGTCATGGAGTTCCTGACTGACCTAAAGGTTTATAATTATCATTGCAGCATGAGCTAAATCAAGGATTATTTCTAGAGGATCTAAGGCAAAGTTACCGGATCCCTTTAAGGAGTTAAGTCTATGTTTCACTAGCCATTGACTTCAATGGGGTTTTGGTGGAGTTTAAGTCTTTGAGTTTCCTGAAAATCTCACATTTTTCTGAACATTTTGATGTCAAATACTCATTTTGGCAAATTATGGAGTTACGTCTTTGTGTTCACTAAACCCTCAACATGGTGTCACTTAGCAAAGTTCAGGGGCATAAAACACCACATGAGGCTTACCTGTTGGGAATAGATCTAATATTGATTGTAATTAGACATATATCTGACTATGTACTTTGCATTCTTAAACCCAAATTGAGAAGTCTTAAAATATAAAGTATAATCATATGAACTCAAATTTAGTCAAAAATTACATGCTGCAGGTGCGGATAAATTCTTCTTTAGTTGTTTGTTTGTTTGTTTTGCTAATGAAAAAAGGTACCTGGTATCAAACAATAAACTATATGCACATGACAGCATGGCATCAATAAAAGAAGTTAAAGAACTTTAATTTATTCTTTCTCTTCTTTGAAAAACCATGAAAAAACACAATTTACTTCATTTGTTGAGAGCCTGAGGGTGTTATCTCTAATATAGCCCCTCTAAAGTGCGTACTGGTACAACAAAAAACTGATATCATGTATTATTTTATCAATATTTGTTTTCAAACACATTTTGGGGGGTGAAATCTTTGCAGAAGTGTGTCTTAAAGGGATCCGGTAACTTTGTCTCAGATTCTGAAACAAAATTCTGGATTTAGCTCATGATGCAATGATAATTATAAACCTTTGGGTCAGTCAGGAACCCCATGACTTTTACAAGCCGATCGCCTGTCTGATTATCAAGATATTTATGATTGGAATTACAAATTTTGAAAACCGTTCGCCTGACTACAGTCAATTGGGGAAAACGAGTATGGTAAAACCGGTCACTCAAAGATTTTTACTTTTTTGAGGCACTTCTTGATCATTTTGAAGCGCAATTTTTTTAGGGCTTCAATATTTCACCATATCACAGACAATGATAACACGTTGGGCCGTGTATCTCAGATTTAACATTGTTAAACGATCCCTTTAAATGCCATCCTCTTTCTCATTATGAACCATTTTTAAAGTGAAAATTTGCAATTAAATTGTTGGCGAATTTTGGGCTTCCAACACTTTAAAGCTCATCTGTACCAGTTCACTGACAGGTGGTTATCTCATCAAATCAGCTCTCAATTAACATAAGAAAAAGGGCATCATGGGGGACCAACAGGCACAGATTAGGCATTGTTTGCTATATAGAGGGCGCAAGTAGTTTTCAAGAATCTTCAGTCAATTGAAGGAGGCAGACTTAATCAGAAGAAGAAGAAGAAGAGTAGCTATAAGTAGTGCAGTGGGGCTTTAAGTATATGAGTTAACACCCTTCTTGCTCTGAGCAGATGGATTCTAATACATACCGTAGCAATGGGCAGAGCTGTGTAGGGGACTCCACAGAGAACGCTGTACTTCACTCCACTCTTTCTTGCCGTCTCAAACAAAGTTTCAGCAACTGCATCCTGAGAATGAAATCAACAATGATAGTAAAATTAAGTGATTGGAGATAATTATAATATTCCGTTTTAACATACCTTGAATAAATACCTTGAATACTAAAGCTTCTGGAAGAAAGCCGTCTCCAGCTGCCAAGCTTCCAGGTCTAACTTCAAGGGGGGGGGGGGGGGATGTCCCAGCTTGCGGGTCTTGCACCATAGTCATTTTACATCTGTATCTTGCTTGCTGGGTCAATACATCGATCCAACGATGTGCCTAAGCGCTTTACAGATATATTATTACCCTGGTCATCGGATTCAGGCTTTCCCATTTTCCACTCCCTGGGGAGCATTCCAGCCAGTCGCCATTTTATAAGCGCACACTTGCTCGTCCAACCACATGAACGATCGCATCCTACCGGGAACCCATTTAACACCTGGGTGGAGAGTAGCAAGTGCAGGAAAATATCTTGCCAAAGGATATTGTGCTGTGTCAGGATTTGATAGATCGTGCGGAAAGTGAAGTTCATATTCTGATCTAATCATCATCCTCAGGACAATCTTACATTGTTGTTAGAAATAGAATGTCCCGTTTCAAAATCCAATTTTAACAAATTTGTATGTACCCTCATATAACATTCCTTCTTTAATTGTCCCCCACCCGATAAAAACAATATTTATTTCCACAAGATAAAAACACTATTTTATATATATTCTTAAATCTTCACAATACAAACATACAATGAGGCGACTGAAGACTGGAACATGAAGTGTGCACACAGCTGCATTACTACTGTGCTCTTGATTCTCAACATTTCAAACACCACTGTACAAAACTCAACTGATTTCCCTCAAAATCGGTACTTTAGTGACAATTAATGACACCTAAATAGCCTATAGAGGTCTAGGCCTAGACTCTAGGTTTTTTTCAGTGTTTAATAATAACCACTACTAAACCTGGGGTCTAGACACGAAGAGATCTAGCTTACATTTAGCGCATGCGCAGATCGCTCATCCGATTTCAGCCTCATTTTCATAAGTTGGCGCCTAGCCTGGCCGACATGGGCCCTTCAGATTGGCTATCGCTGTTCTCTATTCACTCAATGCTATAGATATTTGTGCAAGGAGCAAGCTTGCGATTTTCTGTTTTTTTACGATACCAAAATTATATTTCAGTCAATCCCTCTAACTTATTTGTTATGATTTTTTCACTTAAGTATTTCACTTAAGTTTAAGTTTCACTTAACTAGTCTATATTTCAAGTTTGAACAATTCCCATTTTCGTCATATGTAAGGTACAAACTGGAAATTTATTCTGAAATGTTCATTGATTTTTCTATTTTATGTGTTTGCAATGTCGTGTGTGTGTCACCTAAGGCTAAGTGTGAAGTCAGAGCTACCAAGTATCACGCATTAGGCGTGACATCACGCATTTCGAGGGTCTGAAAATGTACCCTCGCACGCGCGCTTGTGCGCCGAATCATGAAAAGGTCACGCATTGCCGATCTTTGAACTTGGCGTCTCTGGTGAAATGCGTCACCTGTTTAAAGCAGGACGTGTCAAAATATCTGTGGTGTGACGTAATATTACGTATTGACTTTGCCATTGAACTTAAGATGCGCGTAAGTAAAGTACTAAGTAGTTCCTCTCGCACTTAAATTCAAAGCCACTCGAGCGGACCGGCGCCGGCCAATGATCGAGAGCGTGTAAACTCGTTGTAGACAGCGCTAGATGCACAAAGTTCTTCAAGTTCAGCAAGAGATATCATCAGAGACTAGAGTCTAGAGAGCTCGATTCAAAACTGTTACGTTATGTTATGAAAAGGCTTTTGACGAGTACCAGCATAGACATAGACATAGACATAGATTAGATACACAAATCAGTACATGGTACAATGCATTTTCTACGACGTGCCGCATCCACTTGAGATCGCACTCGCTCAACAATTGGATAGAGATTTAAATACTCACCATAATATCTGGATAAGATACCATTACTCTCAGATCGAAGTAAACAGGAGATTGAATCCCACTTTTAAGAGTAAAGGATCCAAACTTCACGGCATTCACATCGAACAAGCGTAGAATAAGGCCTTCGGAATCCATTTTTCCCGCGGTTGACTCAGCTCTCTTCGTTCCTGGTGATCGTACACGTTAAATTTAAAACGGATATGAAATTCTGGACAACATATTTAGGTATCCGCTGTATATTCGAGTTCGAGAATCATCAGCGTTTTAAAAATGGAGTACACGGACTCTCTTTTGGCTAACTTGGGCTTTTATTTAATCTCCATTGGCAATCATTTATCATAGGCTTATATATTGACAGTCACTTGAATTAAGCCCAGTGGCGGATCTAAGGGGGGCAGGGAGGGGGGGGGGGGGGCTCCCCTGGCCGTAATTAAAAACAGGTAATTTTTACCTATTTTTCCCTTCCCTTTTCTGCCCCCAGAAGTTTGAAAATCGAGCCGACAGATATTTTGCTCAGTGGAGGGGGGAGTGAACACACTTTTTTCCCCCTCAACACCCACCCCTTGAACCAAAGAAATCAAGCCATGTTTTACTCTTTTTTTCATTTCGGCCAGGGGGGATCGAGGGCCCATTTCCATTTTTAAGGGTAAACTTAACGTGACTATCTTTTTAAAATCTGCCCCCCCCCCCGTGGATCCGCCCCTGGTAGAAGATGTAGGATGGTAATAGAGGTAGGATAATAGTAGACGTAGGATGGTAGTAGAGGCAGTGGCGGATCCCTCCTCCCCCTTGGGAAAAAAGGTGAAAACAAAACGTAGATTTTTACGTAGATTTTTACCTTTTTGGGGAGATGGACCCCCCCCCCCCCCCTCCTGGCGCTCAAGGGGGGTGCCAGTTTGTACGCACTACCCACCCCACCCCCTCCCCCTCCCCCCCCCCCCCCCCCTAATGAGCGAATTTTCGGCCGGCGCAATTTTCAAATTTTCGGGATCAAACAAAAAAAAAATCCCCCCCCCTAAAAAAAATCCTTGATCCGCGCCTGGGTCCAGTGGCGGAGCCCCTGGAAGCTTCGGGGGTTTTAGGCATTTAATTACGGTCAGATGAATACATTTTGAAACCTTATTTGTCACACTTATTGTCACACTAGGTGGCATGGTTGTCGATCCGGGGGGGGGGGTGGGGGGATATACCCCCCCCCCCAATAATTCACCATCAACAACACCAACAACAAATTAATGATAAGCCCGATGAGAATAGTTATTACTCACAACATGACCATCAATATACACCTTTTGCTATCTCATTTTCATAATACATACGTAAATGAGACAACCGTATAATATAAAAATTAAATTCTCGCTCATAAGTTGCTTCATCAGGAATTGATGAATTTATTCAATTTATTCAATCACCAGCATCCTAGAAATGCAGTGCGCCAAATGCAAAACCGCAGCGTTAACAACTAATGAACTAAATGTTAAGCGCGAAGTGCAAAAGTGCTCAAAGAAGTAGAGCGTGTGCGAGAGAGATAATGAGAGACAGAAAGGATACAGGCGCGTAGCCAGGAGAGGGGGGCGATGGGGGCGGTCGCCCCCCCCCCCCTAAAAAAAAGAGAGACAAAGAAGAAAGGAAGAGGACGTAGGAAGAAAAAGGATTGAGAGTCGAGAACGGTATAACGAATCGTCTTCTTTCTCTAATAATTTAATGAACTGTCAAAGCTTCCGCGCTTCGTGCGGGAGGGGGGTGGGGATGGGGGAACTGAATTCAGACAAGGATTAAAAGTCGAGAATGGTACAACGAATCGTCAGAGCTTCCGCGCTACGCGCGGAGGAAGGGGAGCTTGATTCAAACAAGGATTAAGAGTCGAGAACGGTACAACGAATCGTCTTCTTTATAATAATTTAATGAAAGATCAAAGCTTCCGCGCTTCGCGCGGGTCGGGGGAAACGCCCCCTCCCTGCACCCACCCCCTAGTGATTCGCGTGCACACTACCGCCCCCCTAAAATAAAATCCTTGCTACGCGCTTGAGAGAATAACCCAGGTAGCAAGCCCATATGGGTCCCATTTTCTCTGAAATGTTAACTTTATTGAGGGTGACTTAAAAAAAATAATAACTTGGAAGGGAGGGGGTGCAACCTGCCACACGCTACTACCTCTTGGTTGCTTTGATCCATTGCCGAAAATATTTTGGCACCTATCATCTCCCCCCCCCCCCCCCCCCCCAACCACGAATACAAATCGACCCCAGAAGCTCAGGGGTTTCTGGCATGACGAGAGCCATTCCGAGAGCCATGACGAAAGAGCGATGACGAAAGAGCCATGACGAGAGAGCCATGACGAGAGAGCCATTACGAGAGCCATGACGAGAGAGACATGACGAGAGAAACATGACGAGAGAGCCATTACGAGAGCCATGACGAGAGAGCCATTACGAGAGAGACATGACGAGAAAGCCATTACGAGAGAGACATGACGAGAGACACATGACGAGAGAAACAGGACGAGAGAGCCATTACGAGAGACACATGACGAGAGAGCCAAAACGAGAGAGACATGACGAGACACACATGACGAGAGAGCCATTACGAGAGCCATGACGAGATAGCCACTACGAAAGAGACATGACGAGAGATACATGACGAGAGAGCCAAAACGAGAGAGCCTTTACGAGAAATCCATAATTCCTAAATTATGCAAATAACATGAAGTATAATTAGAATTCTATTAATAATAATGAAGTACAAGTCGAGGAGGGTTAGCATATTTCCAGGTGCTAGGCAGTGAGATCACACAAAGGAAATTCAAAGAAAAGAATTTCAAATGAGGAAAGGAACCTTATAAATAGGGTTCGCGGGCGCACGTAGCCATCTTTTCAAAGAAGGAAGAGGTGTCAACAAACGAAAAACTCTCCCCAAAACAGAGTAAATATTTGTCCAAAAACCGAAATATCATATTATTGATCATAACAAAAGCTACAATAGATCAAATCCATTCAATCAATCATAATCAATCAAACAAAAACTACAATCGATCATATCCAATCAATCAAAACATAACTCCTGTCAAACAACAGCTAAAGTCCAAACAGACATGAAGCCAGGATATATACACTCCCAATTAAAAAAGAGAGAAGATTCTGTGATTTGAACAATAACAAAAATCCAGAAGGGAGGGAATCTTCAGCAAAAGATCTTGAAGGGAGGGACCCTCCTCGACTTGTACTTCATTATTATTAATAGAATAATATTCTAATTATACTTCATGTTATTTGCATAATTTAGGAATTCTATTACATAACATTCGTACAAGTCTTCAGAGGGTTAGCATATTCAAAGAGCAGATCACAGAATCTGAAAAAAGACGAACTTACATGAATAAACAACCAACACTTGAATTGCAGGTGTATCAAATTTTTAATCATAACACGAACCTCAAAAATAATGAAGCATAAAAGGATTACTCAGATCTCCTTGACTAAATCAGTCTTGCTTAAAAGTAAACTACGATCACGTGAATCATGTAAATACATCTCTAGTATTAATATTTTGATCAAGAAAGTATGAAATTGGTTGTACACGCTCTTATCACAAGTAAGCTTGATTATTGTAACGGGTTGCTGTTTGGAATGCCTGATTCTCTGATAGCTAAGTTACAAAGAGTACAAAATGCATGTGCAAGACTTGTCTATCGTCGGTCGAAATTCACTTCAACCGCACCTCTTCTGAGAGAACTCCACTGGTTGCCAGTCCGTCAAAGAATCTCATTCAAAATATTGTTAATCGTCTATAAATCATTGAGCGGTCAAGCCCCTAATTACATCAAAGAATTACTTCAACTCAAAGTCCAATCACACAGTCGTAGCCTGCGCAGTTCCACAGATAAATTACTGCTTCAGATTCCCCATGGCAAAACTAAAGTAACTCTTGGGGACCGTGCTTTTGCTATTGCCGCCCCCAAATTATGGAATAGCTTGCCAATAGAAATAAGAAGCACTCCATCTCTCAATGTTTTTAAATCCAATTTAAAAACTTATTTGTTCAACTGAGTGATCTTATTTTGTAGAATTTAGTAAAAAGGAGCTTTTAACCAGCGCAGCTGAATATATTTTGTATAAAAGCTGCGCTATATAAATCTATTATTATTATTATTAGTAGTAACCTAGGATTTTCCTTTAATGGAACTGTACCAAAAATTGATTACCAAAGAGAAGCGAACCTTCTTCTCATTTAACATAGAGCCCTCTTTCGTGATAATGTCATGATATAGAACATAAATTTCAAGAAGCTTGAGCTAAAACCGAAAAAGCGAAAGTTCCATCTTCAACGACGGGTTTGTGGTAAAAGGTTTTGAATGTTCGGGCATTTGACCAGTCAGCTTTCTTCATTATTTCTTTCAAGGTGACCCCATGAGCGAAAGCAGAAGAAGTAGCGGCACTCCTGAAACTGTGCGCCGAAAATACTGATGTGTCAATGCCTGAAGCAAACAAAGAGAATTTTAACCATCTTGCCAAAGTACTGGAGGTTACCGATTTGTGAGGTTTTCTAGTTGAAATAAAGAGCTTCGTTTCCCCATGACATTCACGAAGAGGTTTGGTACGATTAAGATATTCCTTAAGAGTTAACAAAACACACAACTTCTTATTCGAAGGAAAAGAAGGAAGCTCAACTATTTGCTTAGCAATACCCTTTTTTGGAGTAGTCGTTTTTAAGACATCCATGACCTGAAAAACTGCACGATCATCTGAAATGTGCATGAAAGAGATATCTAAATGATTGAGAGTCTGTGTACGTTGCGCTGTAACAAGTGCGACTAACGACACAAGTTTTTGACTCAAATGAAACAAAGAAAGTTGATAATTTTCTGCCATTGAACACAAATAATCCAAAACCCTGGAGACTTCCCACGTGCTTTGGTACCTTGGTTTAGGAGGGTTTGCATTAAATATCCCCTTCAATAATCTTATTACCATGGGATGCTTGCCAACTGGAAAGCCTTCCATTGGTGGTAGTACAGAAGAAAGGCCAGAACGATAAGAATTAATAGTAGAGTAGGATTTTCCTAAACCCTGTTGAGCACTAAGAAAATTAATCACGTTTACAATACACGAGTCAAAGGGATCAAGCGATTGTGAATCACACCAGCGAAGCCACTGTTGCCAAGCCGATTCATATTGTTTGTTGGTTC